CGTACTAGACAGAGCAGGATGAGCAGCGAGGTAACGGGTACTGAGGGGACACTGACACTAAGGCAAGAGGATGGTGTTTCCTTCACAGCAGCTGGACCCTTTGCTAGTCCCCATGCACTGTCTCTTATCATCTGTTAGTATCAGTAGTTACGATCTTTTGCGTTCAGGAATTAGATTACCTTTTGGCTTCATGTGTCTTCCTTTTCAGCAGCTTTGCTCAAAATTGATACTGAATTTTCAGTGCAGCTAGTAATGTAAAACAAAAGGTAAAAATAGGAGTTAAAAGTGCTTCAACGGGGGTGCCTGGGTGGCTCGGTCCATTGAGCAACCGATTCCTGATTGGGGTTCAGGTCATGATCTCACAGTTCATGGAATTGAGCCGCACACCCGGCTCTGTGCGGACAGTGCAGAGCCTGCCTGAGATTCGCCCTCCCTTTCTCTCTACCCCTTCCTCCACTCATGCGCATGCTCTCTCTCTCTCTCTCAAAATAAATAGACATTTAAAAAATAAAAGTGCTTTAATAAAAGTTGTTACTGATGATCACCATGAGTTTAAAAAATCTATCTTTTCCCTAGTGAGAGAACTTGTATATCCTTGATGGTTTTATAATTCTGTAGGGAAATGAGTGCTGGTAGGATAACATATCTTGCTTCTACTTGTGAGTCCAGGCTTTAAGGGATCGTATGACTGCCCATCAGTGTTTCAGGCTGTATAATTATTATTCTGTGAAATTAATGAGTGCCTTGCCTATAGAATAGTGAGGGATAGCTAAGACTTCAAGATGAAACTCTGCATTTCAGTCCAAACTAGCCTGAGCCTCAGCAGCACAAATGGTAAGCAGTGATAGCACCTCATCGGGTGTTAGTCTATTCTCATTGTTGAAAACATTTTTAGATAGTTGTAATGAATTTGTTAAGCGTAAAGTGGTGATACTGTAGCATAAAGAGGGCTTAGTTTTCTTCCTTTCCGGGGCAAGCTGGAATGATCACCGAGTCGGTGTCAATGCTCAATGGCAAACATCCCAGTCAGACAGCCAGATTCATCACCTTTTCCGTTTGCTCTGGATCCTATGTTTGCATCCTGCAGCATCTTAAATGCAAAAACTCCCCAAGCTGCCATTGCATATCAAATTTCTAAAATATGTGTCAGGATCTAATGACAAAATATTTCCTTTCTCAGGCAAATAGTCTTGTTAGTCCCATGTAGTTATAGTTTCGAAAAAAGAAGAAAAAAGGTCTTAACTAAAATGTTTGATACTATGGTTCTTTGAAGACATAGTCTTAACTTGTTATTCTGTAATAATTAGAGTGGAAGTAAGTCACTGTGAAAAAGAATGAAGGGAAGCAGTGGGTATTAATTTTCTTCCTATTCTTATTGGTCCACTGAAATATTTCAATGAAACCTTTACTCAAGACATCTCCTTTCATGATATCGTGTAAGAAAATAAATGAGTAAGGGACATAAAGGAACCCGCCAATGATTGGAGACAGGATTTTCTTTACATTGTCTAATAGACTCGTTTATTATTTTAAGCTGGTAAAAAGAGACTTATGATTCGTGTTGAAGAAAGAGTTATTTGTGCTTGATACATTAAAGACACTGTTCAAAAGCAGTTTGTCCTTATAAAAGGATGACCCCTGTAGTAATTCTTAGGCAAGGAGGGACAAATTCAACCAACAAAAAGCACATCTCGCCCCAAGTTCCCCATGATTTCTCCACATAGAGCAAAAAAATACACATCAGTAATTTATTTGAACATGCACATCAGTGAGCAGCACCGTTGTGGCTACTCAGGAAACAAACGGGAGAATATCAGCATTACCTAAATTAAAAAAAAAAAAAAAAAAAAAAAAAAAAAAAAAAAAAAAAAAAAAAGAGGTGAAATACACCATTTTAATTGTCTTAAAAACACGGATAAGAGGAGCAATTAAAATATAGTCCTAAATAGTACTAGCTAATGTAGATTACATAAGTATACAATGTGATTCAACTAATAGTGCTCTGACAAGCATAAACCACCAGTCCCAGTAAACAAGGCCGATCAATTGCTGAGAAAATGTTAGATTCGGATGTAATAAAAGTTACTTTTATTTCAGTACTGAATGCAAAACACAAGTCGAGTGTGAAGACAGCGTTCTAAAAAAGGTGGCTCTATTAAAGCAAGGAGGCCATTTCCTTTTGCATTTTTATAAGTTTTGAATTCAATTTTTGACGTTTGCTTTCTCTACCTTTCCTCCCCTGAGCACTAATTTATCAAAAAAAAAAAAAAAAAAAAAAAAAAAAAAAAAAAAAAAAAAAAGATTTCAAGGTGCAAGTTGTACATTCTTATCGTTATACCATTTCATCTCTTTCTGGAAGAGAGTATTACAATCAGCATTACAATGTTAATTCTTTTTCTCTGAATATTCGTTTCACATACATGTATTTCTAAATCATAATGTTGGTCCGGAAAAGAAACCTACAAACGAGAGAGTGATGTATTCATACACTTCCTATTGTGCTGTGTGTCTTTCCCATCCCTTCTCCCCTTTCCCTGTAAAGAGCTGTAAAAAATTTAAGGCAGATGAGGTATATTGCTGAAGAAAAAAGTTATTTTTGAAAAAAAACTCAAAAAAACTTTTATTCTGCCCTTCTATGCAAGAAAGACTACTCAACTATAAATCTAGTGCTAGAAAAAAGCAGGAAAGACACCGTTTGCATGTACCATACTATGTCTTCTATTTCTAGAATGGCTTTTTGTTAATTTAATTTTAATAGAAAAAATAAGCACCTTAAGCTATGAACAGGAAAAGAACTTCATTATTAGTGAGTTTAGAATCCAAACGGAATTAGGAACACTCACTCAACCTCTTTCACTCATTCTCTCAAAGGCCAATGCTACTGATTAGAATTGTAAAGTGCTGTACTCAGTATAAACACTTGTATACACTGCAGACACTGAAAAATAACCCTCAAGCACATTGTGTTATAGTTCCAAAAATATATTTACAGTCTATTACAAAGATTACAAATGGAAGTGTCTAGGTGACTGTATTACGCTAATTAAAATTATTTTACAGATTATTTTGTTCCTTAGGGACAAAAAACATTTTAGTGAAATTAAAATGATTTTTCTCGTCAATTGAAAAATAAATTAAAATATCAAATAACACTGTACAGTGATTTAAAAGAAAAAAAAAAAGGGTGGGGAGGGGTTTGGGAAGCAATCCATTTGAGTTTTTCTATAGCCATCTTTGGTCCTAAATGTGGGAAAACACATTATGTAGCACTGAAAATACCTGTTCTTTTGTGATGCTCTGCAAGTAAAATAGAAAAATATAGTGCATTTTCAATGTATTCAGAGCCCACTACAGAGAAATGTGTGTACAAAACAAGACAGTATAAATAAAATTTACAAGTTTTACAAAGGAACATTTACAGGTTTTTGTCTCTGTTATTTGTTTGTTTGTGGATGCCCACATTATCAAACAAGACCAATTATGACCGATCCCTGGGATCTTTCTCTATTAAAATCATTATAAACAGCCCAATTCTCTTTGGAAGTACAACAGTTCAATTCTGGGGTAGTTCATGATTTTCATAACTTTGAAAGCATTACTCACAATATGTATACATTCCTGAAATATCTATAAAGACACATTTAATTATTGCTTATGAAATTCTAACACAGTAATCAAATAATATGGTTTAATAAATAAAGCTTAAAAAAAAAAAAAAAAAGCCAGATCCTTCACCTCTTCCTTACACGGTAAAAAGAGTTCTTTCATTTAATAAGTTTCTTATATCAGCGTTCACAAATAAAAGACTTTTTTAAAAACTGCAGTGATGATATTCTGTGCAGCAAATCTGTTTTTAAAAGGTGAAAATGTGAACCGCCCCTTTTCTCATGCTTCCGAGTTCTAATATAAAACTTACTCCTTTCTTTTTGTGTTTGGACTGCATTAAACAGAATAGGATATAAAATATATGTCAACTATTTCTCCTAAATTTCCTAATGTCTCAACATTGAAAAAAATCTCGATGTGCTCAGATTAAATTTTAGATAACACTGGATAGTTCTTGCTCTCAGAGACTTGCTTTCACCCACACTCTTTAGATGAAGCGCCTCGTTTTTTCTTTATAGTCATAAACCTACAATTTGAATTTTTTCATTAAATTCTGTCTAGTAAAATCACTCTATAAACAATCTGTTAAAAGTGCCTTATAGTATTTATGGATCATTATTGCTTTTTTCATTGAAAAGATAGTGTGTTGTCTGATCTTTACAAAAAAATTTCTTTTTAAAAAATACCAGAGCTCTTGGCAACTTGCGTTTTCTTGACTACCTGCCAATTAGCAAATGATATCAAAACAGCACTAATTAAACAAAATAAAATGGCACAGAAAAGGATACCAATGTTCTGACGGAGATAGATCTTCAATCATGCTATGGTTTTGTTTTGTTTTTGTTTTTGTTTTTAATTTTGGATTCTTTCAAAGGTACCCAGTGTAGTAATATGTCATAGATTAACACTAAAAAGGTCCAAAGCTATAAACAACTTTCTAAAACAAAGTCCTTATGAAGAATAAACACAAATGATTTTAAAAAGGAATCGTCTGAAATCACATATTTAAGGAAAATATTTCATTGATTTTAACAATAAGATCATGAATTTATTTGACAAATATATTCTTTCTTAAATTCTTTATGTACATTTTAAAAAGTCTATAAGATAAAAAGGAGGTTAGAGAGCTCAAGGTGTTTGGATGTTTTCAGGTAGTACTTTGTTTATTGTCACTGCTGTTTTCCTGGCCACCAGGGGTGGATCCTAAATTCCCTTTTTATGTGTTCTGGTGGCACTTAGGAGTTCAAGTCTGTAGGTGCTTCTTAAATCTTCTCTTCACTGTAGGAAGGACCCAGGACATCAACTGTCTTCTAGCAGCATTTCTTATGCATATCCCGAAGGCCAGTACTGTTTTCTCGCAGTCCATGATCTCCCTCGTAAGGGAGAAACGCTAATCACACTTGGATGCCAGTTCCATGTAAATGGAGCATTTGTGCTCTCATAGTCTGAATGCTGCTCATGATTTTCTTTTGATGGCCAACCAGTGTGATCCCTAAACTCATCACATCCCTGAAAAAGACAAATGCATTTTTTTATTAGTTACCTTTCACAGAGTGGATTTGGTACTAAACTGTCATCAGCTCTTTAATTAAAACATCTGTTTATCGTAGGCAAACAGATCTTATCTTAGTGGTCTTGGGTATTATGATCATATACCCGCAGCAGGTCTGACTGGCAAACTTCATCGGCATGGTCCTTCCTAAGAACTTAACTTCTCCGGCTCTTGATTTGCCACAGGTTGTCTTTAAACTGATTTGAAACTTTGTACCAGAAATTATCACAGTCTTAAAATTATTATTAACTTAAGATTAGGAAATGTTATTTGAAATGCTGTATTCTTGAACCTGAGCGAACTTCAAAATTTTTAATTGTTACAGTAGGATGGAGGATGAATGTAAACATTTTGGGGTCTAGTAAATCAAGAATCGTCAATGATCACAAAAGATTTATCCTGAGTTTAATTATCAAGTGGCGATTCTGTGCATATTATTGATTGTATACTCAACTCCATTTCAGTTTAATCATTTGCCTACATTTTAGAAAAAAAAATTATTTTCTAAAATGTGCAATATCTATGTTAAATAGTTTAAATTTGACATATACTGTGTCTGTGTATGTACTTTTACCTTTCCTAATAGCCAGAAGGACTGAGCTTAGTTAGGTATTTGCAAGCAGCTAAAATATAGCAACAGTACAATACTCCATTATTTCATAGTAGGGGTCCAAGAAAACTTTGAGAAACATCATTTTTCAGGCAAGTAGATTTCTTTGGAGAGAGAAGGTGTAATTATGCCAGCTCTACCCACATGGTGACTAGGAGTAAACCCAACAAGACAGCACGCACATGCTTAAATTCACGTGGGTGCCACCTCCCGGCACACCAGAAAAGAGTAGCTGATTGCTGGCCTTGTCATCTGAAAAACGTGAAACCCTTTGCACAGCAGTTCACAAACTGGATCCACTAACAGATCCTTGATAATTGTTTCCCATTTTGAAACACGTTGGCCGAGAGGAACCTCATTGCCCATAAGACTTGTGCTGCAGCACATGAAGCTGAAGTTCAGAGATAGTAAGTGGATTTCCTAAGACCACATAATCAGTGTGGGAGCCAGAAAGGAAAATTTGTTCTTTTTACTTTCAGTTCATAGCAATTTTAAAAATTGCTTTATTGTCACTCTTTGGGTTAAAAAAATGGGGGCACCTGGGTGGCTCAGTTGGTTAAGCATCCAACTCTTGGTTTCAGCTCAGGTCATGATCTTACGGTTTCATGAGTTTGAGCTCCATGTCGGGCTCGGCGCTGGCAGTGTGGAGCCTGCTTGGAATTCTCTCTCTCTCCCTCTGCCCCTCTCCCACTCATGCTCTCTGTCTCTTTCAAAATAAATAAATGAACTTAAAAAAATGAATCAATCACACACCTTCCAAAACATAGGTTAAATTCTTAGTTACAGTTAACTGAATTAAGCCTCCTTTGACCTCTTCAGAAAGTGATCATATTGGATGTCAAAGTGGATGTGGTATTGGGTATGAAGCTTTGAGTTTTTCATGTCATGCAAACATGGTGAAAGAAATCCTCTTTTGCAATGGAGGAAGTTTCCTCAGTGAACAGGCACCTAAATGATACACGGTTAAGGAAAGAGGCTCACTCTGTGGGGCTTAGAATACTGGCTATGGAGACAAATTAGCTACCACTTACTACTTGAGTCAGTTTAGGAACAATACTTAAATTCTCTGAGCCTGCACCTTGCTGTGTATAAAGCTATTGACATAATAAAATTATTGCTGTGAGAGTTTAAGAATACACTGTAAGTTCAAAGGTCTATTTAGCATAATACCTGGCATATAGTGGACACTTATTAAAGAGATGATTTTCTCTCTGATTTTGGGGTTTACAACCTCTGTAATTTATGGACAATGACCTGATGTATAAAGCTTGGAATGTACTTAATAAATGATTAAATAGAATTTCGTGAGTTTCAACTTACTCAATAGTCATCCTGGCCACAGATTCAAGGGAGTTGTAGCCAGCTGCCGTGAAGTTATCTTTATATCTTTCCATCTTAATAGCCTGTAGCCATTCTCCAACTGAACAAAAGGTAGTAAAGTCAGGAGTGTTTTGATCCAAAAGAGGGCTTATTGGCCTAGATAAGAATGAAACAGAAAAGCAAATTTTTTTCATGAACTACTAAAGAAAGAATGTCTTGGCTCATAAAAAAATAAGGGTAAAAGAATAAAATTACATACTCTAATTGATGTTGTAGTAAAAAATAAACAGATACGCTAACGAAAATCTAATGTGTAGGGGCATGTGGGTGGCTCAGTCAGTCGAGTGTGTGACTCCTGGTTTTGGCTCAGGCCACGATCTCACGGTTTGTGGGATCGAGCCCCATCTCAGGTTCTGCACTGACAGCGTGATGCCTGCTTGGGATTCTCTCTCTCTGCCCCTCCCCAGTTCGTTCCCCATCCCTCTCTTTCTCAAAATAAATAAATCAACATTAAAAAAAATAAAAAAATCTAATGTGTAAAGGTTGCCCAATAACTACAAAATCCACAATTTACATTTTGGTTGGATTTGATGACCACCATTGCATCTTCCATGTACTTCTAAAAGTACAGCTAACAGTATTTGTAATCAGCACACATTTCTTTATTCATTTGTTTCTCCAAAAGTAACTGGGAGTAAAGGAAGCACATTTGGTTGTGGACTAACTTGTTCAGACCACGTGGTGTTATTGAGAACATTGTGTGTTCTCCGTACTAATGGCACCCTTGTAGTGCCTAGTGAGCTCATATACCTCCACAAGGGCTTAATGACCAGTACAGACAAGAGCATCAGCATGACTCAGAAGCTAAAGCTTATTAATTTCTAATACACCTTCAATGGAGTAAGCCAAGCACAAAGAATGCATGGAGTGCTTCAGACTCTTTTTAATGAGTACACCTCTTTAATCATGTATTGAATTACTTTCATAAACCTTAACTTCATAGAATCATTTTACTAAATAGCTTAAAGCAAAACAAGAAAATATATTATGCAAAAAAGTAAAGCACTAGTAATAAAATCCCACATAATACTAACGATGATTTGAAAATGTGGAACACCACCTGATCATAAAATTCCAGTTTAGAAAGTCTTCTAAAATGATGGCCAACGATATCTACCATAACTTTTAAGAAAAACAAAAGGCAATAACAATAGGTCCCTTTAAACACTAGTTAATTAAGGTAAGCCAGATATCTGAAAAGAAAAAATAAAGACTTTGGTAAACACAATACATTTAACATGGATATATAGTTTAACACAAGTGTCAATTTGCCATTGGGTTAGGACTGAGGAGACAGAAGGTTTGAGTGAGTATTTGAATGTCTCCCAGAGTCCATTCCCTTAGGTATTTCTTACCTACTACAAGTTCCCAGGGGTGTTTTCAGACTATTTGGGTTTCGAATCATTTTATCTAGAATTCCAACTATCTGTTCAAATTTTGGCCTTTCAGCACGTTCCTTTTGCCAACAATCCAGCATCAACTGGTGAAGGCCAGCCGGGCAGTCCATGGGTGCTGGTAAACGATAACCTTCTTCTATTGCTTTTATAACCTAATAGCCAAAGGGACATTAAAAATATTACTAATTGAGGCTCAATGATAATAAAATGAATTGTTCAGTAGGCAAAGCGATTTATCCAGATAAGATTGAAGCACATCTTGAAGCATTGCAAAAGACATATTTTTCCCCAAACATCTATGAACCTTAAATATGTTATCAAGGGGTGCATGAAGAGCACGATATCATGACACTTCCTAGTTAATTCTGCAATAGGGAGCAATAATTAAAGTCACTCAGGGTGCAATAGATGGAAAACTACTAATGTCATCCCAGAGGTTTTGAAAGCGGAATATGTTATGAAACCATTTTACTTGTATATAGCTGTACATGTACATATTTGTCTATTAATCTATGAATTCTTCAAGTTGTAAGAGGAAGGTCTCAGTTACCCCGATTTTAACCCCCAAAAGTGTCACTTTTTGCAGAGTTCAAATGACACTTTCAAACAAGATATCAAAATGCAGAATGTACTATGATAGAAAATATTACCAAGCACACTATCACTTTAAATATCATGGAGCCTATATACTTATGAAATATATAGTGTTATATAGTGGTGTGCTGGAGCGAATAGCATACAGTGGTTCATAAAGGTGACTGCATCACTTTCCAACTCCAAGTTTAGTGACCTCACACTGGAAAACTGAAATCAGCTTTGGGGAAGAGGATGGGAGAAGGGTTACACCAGGAAATCGGGGAAGGCTACAAGTTAGTGCTTTCCCAGAGTGCTGGTTGTTAAACTTTTACTCGCACATCACTGTATGTGATAGTGCTAATACACTATCTAATAACAGCCTAAACACTATAACAAGCTTTGAATGTTCATGAAAAATAAGTCTCCATAAACATTGGTACATGGCAATCAAAAAGTCTAAAAGTTTATTATTCAGACTTATTGTTTGTTTGTTTATATGGAAAGCAAGATTTGACGCTAAAAACCAGAAACTGTTACAAATCTCAGCAGCACAGGAAAATAATTACCAAGGCAAACAACACAAATAAGAGGGACTTGTAAAACATTAGAATAATATCAAGGGGAATTAACAAATCATTTTTGATACTGACTGATATAATAGCAGTAGAAATGTAAGAAAAAAAGTGACTCTGGAAAAAACAAAGAGGAAACCTTGGGTTTCTGAAGAAAATAAAGGCAAAAGTAGGCAGACAAAAGCTGGCTTTAAGAAATGTTGATTAACATGGGTGCCTGAGGGGCTCAGTCGGTTAGGCTTCCGACTCTTGGTTTCAGCTCAGGTCATGATCCAGCGGTTGGTGGGTTCAAGCCCTGCATAGGGCTCCGCGATGACACTGTAGAGCCTGCTTGAGATTCTCTGTCTACCTCTCTCTGCCCCTCCCATGCTTGCACTCTCTCTCTCTCTCTCTCTCTCAAAATAAGTAAATAAACTTAAAAAAAAAGAGAAATATTGATTAACAATATTTGTAGGGAAACATATCCCTAAGATGCTTGTTGACATTCCAGAATAACACATTAAAATGTAAAAGGTTGCAGATGGAATGAATAAAGTAGCTGGCATCAACAAGTTCTACAGAGAATCTTTTGTATAGGAAAAAAAAAGTACACTTTAAGAAAAATCTCTATATGCAAATTGATCAAATTTAAAAGGTAAATAGATTAACCTAATAATAGCAATTTTTGAAAAATATAATAAGGTACAATTCTTAGTTGAAATTCTCCCCTGAATACTATGTTATATATCCTATACATCAGTTTACTAGATGTCTTCAACTGAATTTTCTATAAGCATCTCATACTCTATTTATAATTGAATTTCTCGCCTTCCCTAAAACCTTTTACTAATCAATTAATGGCCTTTCCAGTCATCACACCCAGAAAGCTGACGTGAGAACAGTTGTAGATTCCTTCTATGTACAGCAAATTAGTCACCACTTTCTGATGATGCTCCTTCTTAAATGCATACATGTTCAAATAAGAGAAGTACTTTAGTTTGAATAACAATGATGGAGAAAAAATCCTTACACTTAAGTGACCTTAATCAGTGTTGGTATTGAATGCCAATGAAGGACAAAGGACAGAATTTTAAAAGTGTCCTTGTTTATGATCCCATTGCTACAAAGGTTGTGTATCTTGTAAGCAGTCCTCTAAAATACCCCAAACTTCAGAAAGCTTTAAATCACACAAACAAACACAATGGTAACTCTGTAAAGATCACAAATATATAATTATAAGAGAAATTAAATTAAAAAAAAAAACTGTATTAAATGCAAAGAATTTTCCATGGCTTTGTATAACATTCCAGCGACAGCCCTATACTTGGATTCAATGGGGCTCTATGTTACAAAACTTAAATGCAAGTAAAAATAACGTACTTTGGAAAGCTCCGTTAAGTTATTTAAATAGTGACTTAAATTGTGAATAAGTAAATAAACAACTTCTAAAATTTAATGTATTCAAAATGACTAAATAATATAATTGAGAGGCATTTTTTTTAATTGGGAAAAGAGTGGCTTTACTTATATTTGAGGTTGCTTATATTTGAACAGAAGCAGTATCTTTCTGATTTGGCAGGACAAGTTCCCATGCTCATAACATTAGTGCAATCCTTATTATTTTCCATCACCTTCTAACAATATCCCTGCTTGTAATTTGTCTTCAGATGTCTAGAAAGTAACAATGCACATAGAGTGATCTTTCCTTTGTTCTTTCCCTCTAAATACTCTTTTAAGATGCAAATCTAGGGGCACCTGGCTGGCTCAGCCATGGAGCATGCAACTCTTGATCTTGGGGTTGTAAGTTCGAGCCCCAGATTGGATGTAGAGGTTACTTAAAAATAAAATTAAAACATAAAATCAGTATAAATCTAAATCTGGTCACAATCCTCCTGACATTAATATTCCTCAGCAGCTCTCCAAGCCTTCATAAAAACATTTAGAATTCTTCATCTCTGAGCACAATATGTATTTAAGTCTTTGTGCCAATGAACATAATACCATTAAATGACTCTTACAGGAATGAGTTAATGAACCTCTACAGTTGTCCTTTTGCATTATAGGAATTTCATACTCTATTATTATGGCAGGAAAACATTTATTTCAGCATAAAATGAAACATCTGGCTTTCAAAGATAGATACAGTGGTGGATACATTTTTAAAGGAATAGCAGCTAAGGATAGAATTTAAAATAAGAGATGTTCTCGATTGGGAATGGACTTTGGGAACCTAACGTTCCCATTAACAATCATGCACCTACCTATGGGAGCACTAATGATAATTGCTGGGAACCTTCTACAGAGCATAGGCTGGCATGATCCAAGCATACATACCCTTTGAGGGTAAACCTGCTGATGAGGGGTGATTCAGGCACACACTGAATCTAGAAATTCTGCAGTTTGTATTTGGTTAGCTGCATTTTACTTCCAATTGGGAAAGCAAGAAGTACTTTCTGCAAATAGTTATTCATGTTTGGAAACAACAAGGCACATGGGTAAAATGGTTAAACTTACACTTCTTAGAGCATTATGTTATTATTCACGGAATTCATTTAGAAGATCTTTTTGTGAAATTTCTAGAAACCCGTTGGACAGGGATTTACCTGTCCAGATCTAGCCTTAATATTCTAATAAAAGAAAAAAGAAATACATTAAGCAATTTCTAATTCTAGATAGGTCCTGGATTCATAGGAAGTGATGGGTAAATGACATTTATAAAAGACCACTGGGATATAATAGGAAGCATGGCTTTAGTATATACTGTAAAGAAATACTTGGAAATAAAAACAAAAGTTGCTTGCTGCGAAGTGTTTCAGTATTATTAGGGTATGACCATTGTAATTAGAGGAAAAAGAACACAGAATGACCCCATGATAATGGGCTGGTAATAACTTAAAATGGGATCTAACATGAAGGACTTCTGCTCTTTGCTCATGCTCATCTCCATTCCATTAACCTCACAATAATGTATGACCCACAGTTCATGCAATTAAATATTTTGGACCCCAAGTATGGGATTATGGCAAAGTTTTACCAAAACAATCACAATTTTGTTTCTATTGTAACGTAAAAAATACAAAGTCATAAATTAGTGGTGACTTTCAAAAGGGAAAGTTGAAGGCTCACAATTTAACTGAGAGCAAATTTAGTTAAAGTGTATTATTATATTTTTGAAGCTCTTAAATGTCTTTCAATGACCCACTTTAAGAATTTATCTTTATGTCCAATATCTTTATGGAAACTTAATTTTTCTTTACCATCTTTATGATTACCTACTAGTTAAACTAACAATGCATTAGCTTAGCTTAAAGTGAAAAGAAATGACTTTGTTTAGTACTATAAACAGAAAAAATGTAATCTACCTAAAGAACGTCAAAATATGAGGGTAACTATTTGAACTAATTAAGACATACATTTAATTAAAACGCAGCTGTTGTGAATGCCAAAGAAGAATATTTTCAATTTCTGTAATATTATTATGTTTGACTGAATGTACATATATAAAGAAATGTCTTTGAAAAGCCATTATGGAAAGGGCTAAACATCTGCAGATTTTTAAGAATGAAAATTAGAAATTTCTTTGGGACATTCACTCTCAATTGTAATAGCAAATAACTAAATTCTAACTGCTTCCATTGCAGTGAAAATTCAAGAAAGCTGTAAGTATGTCAAAATACAGTAAGAATCCATTCAAGTGTTAATCAAGTGATGCCCTGTTTGGATATGGGTATCATCATACACATACATACTATCCTTTCCCAAGTTTTTCTTGCTCATTGCCCTGTCTAGGATGCAGATAAAGCCTTCTGGAAACTATCTACCTCACTGACTTCTATAATACCCTTGTCTGTTCAGAGTGATCACAGACACTTCCCTTTATTGAGCATTCAGCCTGGAATTTGGGGGATTTGTTTACAAATGTAACCATCAATTTACATCTTGTTCTTGCGATGTCTTATGAAAAGTCTTCTAAAATCCAAGGCATTTGAAATTCGAAGGCTTTCTAAAATCCCTGACAAATTACTAGGAACTAAGTTTGAACAATGTAAAGTTAATTAATTCACTTAATAAATGAATCTAAACTAATTAAAAAATTAATATCTAGGAAGATCTGTTGAAAGCAAACTTCCCACTATCTATTCACACATTTACAGGATTTTCATATGTGTCAGGGGATTGTCAGAACTCCTCAGTCTTTCCATGTACTCCTACCAGAGATTTCAAGTAAAAAAGCTTTTATCTAGGGAATTTTTTGCCAGAATGAAATTCATTATTTTGAATTATTCATTTTTTTCAACATTTGCATTTTGAAATGTATACATATAATTGCTCAAATAGCACTTTAACAACATTAAGTATAAAATAACGAATATTATCCTATAAGAAGAATAGTGATATAAATTTCACTATAAAACTGAGATGTATAGGTAATCCCTTACTATTATACAAACTGGTGTATGATTTATAATTCAGACCTTCAAAATTACAAAAAAGAAGAAACTTGGTGTTAAATGTTCTAGGTTGGAAGTAAATGTCACTGTAGACATAATAATTTAATTTGATCATTACAAATATTTATTATTTCTTGTTCTACTAATTATATATTTTCACATTTCATTTTCAGGAAAGACAAACAATATTTAAGGAATTCTAAAAATTAACATTGAAGATTTTCTTTTCTTCTTCACCCTTTCTATTACTTGTTTTCAGAAGTTAAGTGAACTTTGAATTTAAGTCATCTTATATTCCTGTCATTCCCTTTATGTTTGAATCTAGTACAGAAGGAAGGTGTCAAAAGAAATGAAACTCCACTGAGTGTCTGGGGAATGTAAATATTTCTCTTTCTCTGCCCCAAGGATTTGTTTGCCCACATTTTGACAGTCCATGAAATCTTTGACACTGAGTCCTGTCAAATATTAACAACTTTGCTTCTGCCAAACAGACTCATCATTTAGACTTTTATCTTTGGAAAACCAAAACCAAAACCAAAAAAACAAAAAAGTTTCATGTCATCCCTCAGTTCAAAACACCAAAAGATTTAAATGACTTAAAAATGTCACCTCGTCAGGCTGTGAACGTTGCAGTTCATTCAGAAATTTGTGGGAAGATTTACTGAAAACAACCTCACCAACAAACAATCTGATTTCAGGTGTCAAAAAATAACTATCTACAAGTTTTAAGACCATAGGAGTTTGATACGGTAAATTCTAAAATTTAAATCCAAAATGCTGATTTTATGTAACAATGTTCATGACCTATTTTTGAAAAATAACTCGATTTTAATTTTAGTCACCTTCTATTGCTGTCCATGTTTATAGTACTTCGAGAACTGACTATTCCAGTTTGCTGGTCACATCCGTCTTTTAATGGCGATACAGACTTTCCTCAAGCACCACTTATTTCTTTACTCTTCATGAACATGCATTTGTACCATTTCTAAACTCCTTCATAAAAGCCTTTCATCAATTTGCCCCAACTTAATCTGCATATCAAATCACCAGTGTGCATACCAGTGTGCACAGCTCTGTTCTAGGACCGGGAATCTATTTGGTTGGTCTCCACACACTTGGCTAAGTTTTAGCTTCTGGACCGTCCAATATGCCTCTTTGGAAAATTCTCTCACTAGCTATGGCCAAAGTCTTCTCCAGATTGCTAGCTCAAATCCAGGGTACCTTCCTAGATTTTATACTTGCTCTACTTTCGTCTAGATTTCACTCACATTTTCAGTAGGTTGGACCATATGAATCTGCCAGTATTTAAAAGTTTCTGACACGCAAAAATGCCTGTTTCATCAAATTCAACCTAATAGAAGCCAATGTTCACTTGCATTTATGCTGTATTGTTTTGTAAGTGGTCTCTTGGTGTGACATGTATACCCCCAAGAACTGCTATCTCCTTTGTTTTTCAATGCATCACAGCATGTTTTATGCCTTAGTATGCAACAGGATACATATTTAACAAGTACGAAGTTTTTAGGAATTTCCAAAAGTACTCCCATTGTGATTAGATTCTAAAATATCACCATGGAACACCTACCAGCGTTGAGCATAAGATTTAGTTTGTCTCATGAAATTAAAATTTAATCAAATCCACCAACAGTAGACATGTTAAACAGATTTTCTGAGAACATTAAAAGAAAAAGAAAGATAAGCTTCAAAGACAAAATAAAACACAGGCTTCCGTCCTCCCCTCTGCAAATGACTCCTTTACTCAGGTGACTTTCCCACTACAGTTCTACAAGTACAGCATCATTATCATTATTCAGGAAAAAGATAGTGGACATATCCTTTGTATCTACTGAGAGGATATTTTCAAAAAAAGGAAAGACGATCTTCAAAGTGAAGTTAATTGAACCACTAATTTATGGTAATTTTTGTGGGAATAATTGTGAAAACTCAGCAGTCATATTTTTATAATTCTATAAAACTTTCTTCTTATGAGCCATTCGTTACCAACATGTTCCAATAACAATGGATATTAATGTATGAAATCCTTTTTGTTTAAATAGTGTAACACCTACATCTTGATTTGACATGTCCCAATAAGGTCTCTCTCCATAAGACATAACTTCCCACATAACTATTCCATAGCTCCATACATCACTGGCTGATGTGAATTTCCGGTACTGGATGGCTTCAGGTGCTGTCCACCTTACTGGAATTTTTCCACCCTGTTATAAAAGAAATTGAAATTTTAAATATGCATAATAACTTATAAATCATTTATAGCAGAGCTCTAAAGCTACAGTTAAACATTTGTATATTTGGTTAGCAATTCAGCAGTATCACATCTATCCATCTTGAATCTCTCTAAGTGTATTTAAAGTTACTAATCTGTTTTTAAAATGTCATTACAAGTTTTCATTTTTAAGGCGACTCAATTTAATGGGCCCTTAGGTGGTCTTAGGCCATGAGTCTAGTCAAAAGACAATGACAAATTAGGCAACATAACTATTAAAATGGAATGAAATATGGGGACTTCAACTAAATCCTCATGTATTTTCCTTTCTGCTAATTTCACAAAAGTTGTAAGAATTAGCATAGTTAATATTCTGTTAAAATCTATTTATTTAAAATGGGACTATATTTCTCTGCTACAATTATGAGAGCTAGCAACTAGATGTTATTGTATAAAACCGAATGTTATGTATATGAACACCCTGCTATAAGAGAAGCATGTTGCCATTCTTATCTCACTTCTTCTCAGTCTGTATGTAGAGTGGAAACATAACGACAGTTCCTCCAAAAGGAAAAAAGAAAACCAGCAACAACAAAAAGCTGAGATCTATTTGCGTCTTTTCCACTGTGTAGCTTTGTATTATTAAGTCCTGCTTTCTTGGTAGGAAAATCTCGGGAATATGAAGAGGTGCAGTAAGGGACTTTTCCTTACAGTCGTTGTATAGACAGCTTCTGGATCATCCTCTATAACCCGGGACAGGCCGAAATCTGACACTTTGCAAACAAGATTGCTGTTGACAAGAATATTGCGAGCTGCAAGGTCTCTGTGAACATATCCCATATCGGCCAAATATCTCATTCCAGCAGCAATTCCTCTCAGCATTCCTACTAACTGAATGACTGTAAATTGCCCGTCGTGTTTCTACAGGAAGACAAGAATAAACATCCTTTAACTCTACTTTCAAAGGGAAAAATTACCATTAAAAATGTCTGCACGCTGGTGATTTACTATAGTATAAGAATTATTATATTATCTATAGAATATAGACATGTGTGAAATATAGACATTTGTAAAAAAAAAACAAAAAACAAGTGTTGATTCAACGGACAGCCAAATAATACAAAATAGACTTTTGATAATTGTTTAGTTATTTACATTGATTATTTTTATTGCTTGAAAATAGCATCAGGTTACGCAGATCCAAAAGTATGCACTGATTTTTGAGGCGAAGGTAGAGAATGGAATATCCAAAAATACTATCTTTGACAACTAAGTGTTTTTCCACTTGCTAAAATATTATATAAGTAATCTAGAAATGTATAAGGGGATGAACATATGTATTAAGATTTATTTTCTCCAAATGATAAAAGAGAGAAAGGAGACATTTTTTGATTAAAGGTGAAGAGAAACTAAGAAGTAGGAAATGATGATGCTGGCTGACTTTGTTTGCTTTTTATATTTTTCCCTGTTTTGTTAGCGGTAGGAACATTACTTGCAACAAAGATTCTCTAAAACAGATGTGCCAGCAAATGGGATCGAGAGCTCTTTGCAACCAGACTGGCAACCATATATTTCTAACCCATTTTTAACTCACAGATTTCTCCAACTGAATTATAAATACAGTGCATGAGGATATTGATTTGAGTTGATAACCTTTCCAGGTGATGCTTTATTCCCAAGAGTTGATAGTTATACATAAATAAACATTTCTCTAAATCTTCTGATTTCTTATAAATTTGAGTTGAGTGTATCACTGCAGATTATGTATGATCACATTCCATGTCCTCTTATTCTTTAGATTACTTTCTCCTTGTCATTTAGAAAACTGTTAACGTGTTTATATCCTTAGGTGAAAAGTCTCAGAGCAAAAAATATGTATGCTTATGTATTTAGAATTATCACAAAAATAATCACACATTATTAATTTTAAAAATGTTAGTAATTCTATCTTTTACACTCAGTGTTCACACAGCGATATAACAGAAATGGTTCCACAGGACACAATTGGGATCATCATGCCAATTACTGAACGGTTATCTCACTTTTTGGTCTTCTCTGTATTATTTTTGTATTTAATTTACAATTGTACTGAAAAGTAAAATGTCACTCTACACCATGTATTCAGAGTCAAGGGTTTCAGGTTCAAACTACACTTTATCACTTATGTGCTCAAAAAGTTCCAGTTCAATCCAGACCAGGATTCTGATCTTTAATTTAATCTGCTTTTTTAAAGGCAATTTTCTGATCTGTTAAAGTTTACAATGTTTATGGCTTATGCTGTGCACAACAGAACTTGATAGTTGTAACATGGATAATGCATTTACTGGTAGGATAATTTTTTTGTTACTTACCCTGAGAAATGCATCTAGGGCTCCATTTTCCATGAATTCTATTACTATCATGACTGGTTTCCCTAAAATAAAAAAAATATATATATATACATATATATGTATCAAAAAAAGTGTATCTTAAGGAGCCATAACCTAAACTTCAGGTTTATTCCCATTCTCACCCTCAATAAAATACACGGTGCTCTTCTGAAAGGCTGAATGGGTGAGCTGTGAGTGTTTCTAACGTCCCAGTGCTGCTGCTAAGCTCAGAGTTATTAAATATCTGTTTGGAAGATGGTTATGATTAACGAAATTAAAGAACAAAGTCAGTATGTTCTTCTGACTCCTACTTTGTGAACAAAACTCAGAGAAAATGACACTTTATATAAAATGTACAAACTTAGAGTGCATCACTTTTATGGCCATTGAAGCTAAATGAAAATATCAGTCAATCTGTTTATCAGATTTATTCTTTAACTCTAATCCTGCCTTCATTTATCCTGATGTCTTCAGAGGTAGTAACATAAATGAAAAATTTAGTCCATTATATTTCAAGAAAAAAAAACCCTTCATTTAGAATATGCAACAGGTTCATAATTTGAGTTTTTAATTAGGTACAAAATAACACTAATTTCTGACAGTCCACTTGATAAATGAAAGGTATCGATATCTACCTCGTGTAACCACCCCTTCCAAATGGACGACATTTGGGTGGTCAAACTGACCCATGATGCTTGCTTCACATAAAAAGTCTCTCCTTTGTTTTTCTGTGTAACCAACTTTGAGGGTTTTTATGGCTACTGCAACATCTCTTTTCCCTGGAAGTTTCAGACGACCACTGCAGACTTCTCCAAATTCTCCTGAAGTAATAGAACAGGCAGGTGTATGTTAATCTCAAAAATATTTCTTCGTTCATAGTAAATGCATAATACTAAAAACACTTCTAAGCTTTGCTAAACTATCTGTTACGCAAACTACAATTTTTTAACTGGATTAACAAAAACGTTTTTAGAAACAACCTTTAGATTTGAATACAGGATACAATGTACACTGGCGGCTAAAGCATGAGGATGCATTTGCAAATTCTAAGCATTGCTATTGCTTTTATGGTTTGAGAAGCAAGTATTTTTTAGATTTCAAAGTCTGAAATTTGTATGCACTAGGACTGCTAAATCTAAGAGAGTTGAATCCAAAGTGTATAATTACTATGAAAATATATTGTATACAGGGGTCCCTGGGTGGCTCAGTTGGTTAAGCATCCGACTCTTGATCTCGGCCCAGGTCATGATTTCACGGTTTATGAGTTCAAGCCCAGTATAGGGCTCTGAGCTGAAAGTATGGAGCCTGTTTGGGATTCTCTCTCTCCCTCCCTCTCTGCCCCTCCCCCACTCATGCTCTGTCTCTCTCAAAAATAAATAAATTCACATGTAAAAAATATATATTGTATATGTAGAAAATAATATTCTTTTTATATAAGTCACACATCTTAATTTTCTGCATGGAATTAAATGGCTGACTAATACCTACAAATGCATGAAAAAAAAAAAAAAGGTTAAAAAAAAAAAAAGGATCAAAAAAGGTGAAAGCCTGGCAGGAAGATGGCAAATCAAGTAAGAGGAAATGTAGATTCCAACAAAATTCAGGAACATTCTCATTTAAAAAAAAAGAATACTAAGTCATTTCTTAAACAGCAGGCCAGAACTATTGTGAAGTAACTTATTGTAGAGCAATATCTTAAAAATCCAACAGAAGACAAAAGATATACAGATTTTCTGTGCCACATGCTTCTTTTTCATTTTTTTCTTGAGATCTCATAAACAAGTACAGCCTCATTGCTTCCAACAGTTCAGGTGAATGCAAAAGTTCTATACTTGAGGTATAATTATTTGCCTGTCATTATGATGTATGACTTTCGATCCTGGCTAAATGGAACAGCTGAACAAGGAAGCTACAACAGCCTTACCTGCACCAATCACACGCTCAATTTTAATACAGGAGGCATCTAGCTCCTTGGCGAATTGATGGACAGCTCTATTTGGGTCCTCATAGGTTTCAGGGTCAATGTAGGTTTTGGTGCCTGGAAATTTAACTGTAATGATGTAAGAAAGCATGACTGTGATGAAGCAAAGCACTTATTGTGCAGTCAGCCCAGGAATTTCATTATGCAGAGTGCTCCTTGGAACAGTGAACTTGCTTCCACATCACCTGATTCACAGCAGTTTTAACAGACTACTTCGGTCTGTTGGCGTATAGGTATTATCTGCAAGCTTCTATAGGTAACATAGGATCCAGCTCATAGGTTACTAACTGAATTGCTTTTCCAGTAAATCAACAAAAGACATCACCAAAATTCTCTGACGTGACTCTTATCAGACTGGAGGTTTAATTAAATTCACTGCTATCATGGCATAGTTCAAGCCATATTGAGGTTTGTAATGGACTTGGAAACACATTTGTAAATCTATCAGTCAGTCAATCAATCAAATTAATACACTGGGAAAAGAAGACATTTCATTTACAGGTAGCCTACTACACTGACAGCAATATTAAAAAACATTTAGACATCTTACTTATTCTTTTGATTTATTTTTGTAAAGACCAACCACCGTTGACATATACATAAAATTAGTACAAGATGTGAGGGACCACTATCACAGAATCAGAGAGAAATCTACTAAAGACACAGTTTCATCTTCACCTTGAAGGGCAATAGAGGCCAGATGTACAAAATGCAGAGTAAAGTTAAAAATTTACAATATTCCTGGGATCTGCTAACCGTGGATGACAGCAATTTGAAAGAGGAATGGTTTCTATGAACTTTCAAATATAAGGCTCTGGAAGGAGGTAGCCAATATGCCTCAGAAAAGGTAGTCAAAATTCAAACAACATAGAATCATCTTAAAAGTTAAAATCTTCTTAAAATGCACCCAGAAGCATGCAGGTAACAGATAATGCTATGTCAACTTTAAATCAAATTCAGTTACAATAATGTATTCCAAATCTAATCATTTGGTTAAAGACAAAGATAAGATAGATAGGCATATATTTGGTTATATTAATGCAATAAAAAGAATTACACTATATCCTCAAAAAAACTTTATTGTTTTAACAAAGCCACTGAACAATCTTTTCATTAAATCTTACTATTTTGAGAACAATATATTTATGTATTACACTGCAGCCTAACTGTGCTTATGTCATCACATTATATTAAAACTATATTTAAAAAATAAACACATAACAAACAAAAAGAAGCAGAATGTATAAAGGAAAATGGGATTTAAAAATCTTGATTTATTCTGCTGTAGTTGATTGTTTATCCAAAATTGATTGTCTTAAACAATTATTGTTGCAGTTTATAAAACTGACAGATGCTCATTTGTTACTAAAGCTGAACATGAAAAAAAAAACACAAGAAGAAAAGAGAGAGGGGATAGAAAGAGAAAAGAGAGAAGAAGGAGTACAGGGAAGAGGGGGGGAAGAGAAAAAGAGAGAAGGGAAGAAAACAATAGGTTAACCTCCTAGATTGGCAGGCAGATGGAGAATGAGCCATCTTCTCCCTTTCCATTCTTTCTTTCTTTTTTCTTTCTTTCTTTTTTTTGTTTTGTTTTGTTTTGTTTTGTTTTGTTTTTGTTTTGTGATAAGGGAGCTAGATTGGAGGTAACCTTCTGCATCTCAAATGGGTCTCTGATGGTTCTTTATTCAAGCTGTCATAAAACATTTTGACAGGCCAGAGCAATTTTGGCATAAAAACATGAAATACTGCCCAGCTTGGATTCAAAGACATTGTTAGAAGAAATGGTAGGAGGAAACAAAATGTAAATTGGAATTGCTTCACTACACTTCTCCATTGTGTTTATATCTTTAAATGTAGCACTCGGGGCCATGGAGAGTCGAGGGCGCCTGATACAAATGACTGGACATTCTATTAAATTCAGTGCTCTAAAAGCTAGTTAAATGGTTGCTTTCATGTTTCTGTAAAAATTCAATCTGGTGTCTTAGCACCTAAGAAAATTGTCTGTATACTAAAGAAATAAAAGGACACCAACTTGTAAACAGCTGGTGACCATAGAGTCGTACTTTACGTATTTTAGATACAGCTATAAAATCAAATCAAGTGCCTGGTCATCAGATGACAAGAAAAGATACCTTTGTAAAGAAGGTGATTCAAAAATATCAAGGATTTACTAGGGTAGGATATTGCTAAGTGCACTTTAATTTTTCATTATTCATCTAAAACGGATGTTTTAAAATAAGGAAAACGTTGACATATTTCTGAATATTCTGGTTTCTTGTTTCTCTCAATTTAAGAGAATGAGCTTTTTTGTGTGTTAACATTTCATTGACATTTCTCATGAGTGTTAAATAACTTAAAACCACCATTGATATTTTGCTCTAGAGGTGAAAACGGTTTATATATATATATATATATATATATATATATATATATATATATATATATATATATATATATATATATCAGGCTTATCTTGTCTATGTCAGCAAGTAAACATGCAGCTCTATTGTTTCTAATTACAAACTCGATGTCAAATGTAAAAAAAGCAAATGGCATCAAAATATTAAAACTGAGTGATGACAATTTAGCATATGGCTATACAACATGTTTCAGGTAAGTCACATTTCAGTTTACCTTCTGCATAACCTGAAAGTTAAAGGCAAAGAAACTAAAACGTATTTGATAATTTGGGGATGTCTCAGACGTATTCAGTAAAGGAAAGAAAAGTGACAAACTGTTGAAGGTAAAATTAAATGATTCTGTCATCAAATTGTTCACAAATGGGTAGAATAGGGGATTTTAGGAACTATATGTTACTCTTCTACATACATTTAAAACTAGTTGTAAAAGTTTAAGCATTCAAGTTTCAACTCGCTCTTTTCTGTTGGGGAAGTGTTAAAGATATTGTCTCCTGTTGTAAAAGAGAAAAAAATGTACCCTCCGTTTTTTTCTGTGTATCGCTATAAACTGCCTGTGGCACTCTCATCACTGAGAATCACAGTAACGATAATAATAGTGCTCCCAATTTGTGTCTTTAAACCATGCATTTTCTTGATTGATGTTTATACATTTTTTGTGACGTTAGGATGGGTACATGACAATATCTTCTTAGATACTACCATAATAATTTGATAAATAACATAATAATAGGTGTAACTCATGGGAAAATTAGAAACTTTTTTTCTCCAAGAGCAATCTTAGTAAAGATTATGCTACCAAGAAAAATAATAAGTGAAATTGTTTTTTAATATTTCCAAGGATTAAAAATAAAAATGATGCACTTGGATATGAACATCATTAATCATTAGAACTAAAACCATATGATTGTGAGGTTTTTTCTTTGGCTACAGGAAGGAATAACATTTATTTGCATAGCTCTCATTTTTTCACTTGCCATCCACATTGCAATAGGAATAGAATTAATGCAGATGGGCATCTATTTTCTTTGGTTTCCCAAGGCCTCTTCTGAATATGATTTCCAAAATGAATGTTTAAGAATCAGGGAACCAAAATCCACAGAAAAAATTGGAGGATTCAATCCTATTATTCAATTTATATCTGGGGAAACATCTATCAGACAATGTATAGATAGTGGCTGAAGAGAAGAAGGCTCCTTAGCTTAGGCTGTCATGGTAGCATCACTCATTGGGTGGGACAAAGGGTCTATCCTTCTAAATGAATTCCTTCACTAGAATATGGGCCATGCAGCATTTAATGGATTGTTGTTAGAATGGTATGAAACGCTTGGGCAAAGTTTGCAAAAGGAAAAACTGTGACATAAAAGCAGCTAAATATCCTGCAGTTATACTAAAATTTCTTACGAGAGATTAGATTTCTGAATATATTTTGTTTTCAAAATTCACATCATATGATTTTCATTCTAAATATCTCGTTCAAATGCTTTAAAGCAACATTTTGAGTTCATTAGGTACTTTCAAGCATGATACATTAGGAATTTATTCATGCCAATACTAACAACCAGGTCTCTGTATTAACTGGGGTACAAATAATAAAAAAAAAAAAAAGCCAAACACTTACAATGAAAGTAAAGTTCTTCATCCCCTTCTTGGTCAGCTTTGCTATAACCACAGTGCCTAGGAAAAAAAATCAAATTTGTGATGATCTCAAACAATGATCTTACTTTATATATTTAAAATTCAGTACAGTATACCTTAATTCTTTAACTACTTGCTAGTTAGAGCAATAAACAACATGCAGAAACTTCTTGCCCATAGTTATGAACTCATTAATAATATAGTAAGTAATATGATTAAAACACATACAGAATATAAAGTCTTGGTGTGAGACAATGTAGAAGGAACATACTTCACAGATTTAGATTTATCAATGAGTGAATAATTGTACTTTCTTCTGAAAAACAACGACAACAGCAGATTTTAAATGGTTTCCACAAACCATTAACTAAAAGAGTGAATTTCTCCTAGGTATCTACTGTATTTATAATGAAAACCTAGCTGAATGTAACCAATAAAAATACACCCAATAGCACTTACAGTACTCATTGCTCTTAAACTAAAGGCAATGAATGATTAAGCTCACACTGTATTTGACCTTGGGAGAATGGAAATTTATTAACCTTTAGTATCTCATCCCAAAGAATTTTTGCATTTAGTATCTAACATTCTAATACACTAAATAGTAAGTAATAGCCTGACATAATTCTAAAAAATCAATACATTCTGTGTTACAGATTAGAACAAATCTGTGTTCTACCTTCTCCCAATGATGAAGCCAAAGACCATGAACACCAGAATGATGGTCCCTGCCACTGCAACCACAGCAATGATAATAACGGGATTCTGTTCACTGGAGACCGCTGTTGCTGTAAACGGAGAAAAAGAGGCTCAGAAACACTCAATACCATGTAAGAACTTGAGAGGGTAAACAAAATCTTATGAATAAGAGGTATCTATGCTATTTAATTTACCTCTAATCTTAAATAAATGCATTATATTGTAATGATATAGATTTCAATAAATGTTTATTTTTTGCATTTTAAGGGCATGGTAAGGACAAACTTTCATCTGTTTTATATTCCTCAGTTATAAAAGACACCCACAAAATGCCTTATTGAATGGCTATCCCCTGCTTAGTTGTTGAAAACTTAGTTATAACTCAACAGAGAGAGATCTTTGATGTACAGTTGTATTAAATCTCCATTTTTTCCCCAGCAAAGTATTTGATCTCTGTGTGTCTTTTTCTGATATGTAAAAAGGAAACAAAACATATACTCTGCATTTTCCAAAGCAGAAAAGTGCTTTATCTCTCATATCATCAATATAAAATAAAAATCATAATGGAATCATAGTAAATCATCATGGATTTATAATCTATCATAATTTAGGAAAAAGATGAGCAGAATCATTTGTTCTAATTTGACAAAGTATGCAATATACACATTTGAGAATTTAAGATTACAGAGGAGGTAGGCTATTTATGAAAGAGCAAACATTGCACGAGTACTTTAAAAAACAGTTTAGTATTATCTAATTGCAAAAACCTCCTGTGCAATGCTGTGATTCTTGTATGCCTCTTAAGGCAAGCCCAGCCGGACCTTTCTGAGAGTCTCTTTGGGAACAGTGTGTTTCCATGTCCTTCAAAACAGCCTGATTCCGATTCTTCAAGTCACAAGGCCTTCTCACTTCCATTTTTCCAAATTAGTAAAGTTTTACTTATATGAGAATTCGTAATTGTCATATTTTCCCCAGAGTATTATATTTCTAATACTATTACAGACTTGATAAAACAATCAAAGGAATACAAAAACAACAAAATGTATATTCCAATGAATGATCCAGTTGCAAAATGCCATTTAACATATAATGTCAGGATAATATAGTTTGCTTATTGCTGAAACAGTCAACAGCTGCAATCTTTAATATGAGGTAGGATGGAAAATACTCCTCTTTCTTGGTGGTGGCAAGGGACTGAGTCTCCAGAGCGGTAAATCACACATAGGCAGAGTAGGTTTTGCCACAATAGGCTGCATCAAGTTTTTTTCTGATTGGCTTTTCTCTGTTTTATCTATATTTTCCTTTTGACAACTCATTTCTTAATTTTGTATACCTATGCTAACTATACATAGATCTTAGATTGAAAAAACAGCGAGGTAGCTCTGGTGTAATGGTTTCCGAACAAAGGTGTATACAGACTTCCTAACTCAGCACCTGCTGATTTACTCCCTGAGGGAATTAAACAAAGTGGGGGCGGGAGGAAGAAGAAAAAGAAAACAACTTTTAGACTTTGATTTCTGAATTGCAGCCTATTATTATTCAACAAAGAAAAGATTTGAAGTATTTTTTTTTTCATTTGGGTTTAAAAAAAAACAATTTTATCTTTCTCCTCTCTCTCTCTCTCTCTCTCTCTCTCTCTCTCTATATATATATATATATATATAGTAGTTCTGTTCATGAGGGAGGAAAAAATTATACACGTATGTGTAGAAATTGTTTCCATCCAATCCATGTGCCCCTGGGTCTAATTCTTTGCTTGTCTTAGGCTCAGCTCTGCCTTAGCTTCAGAAAGAAAACTCCAATGAGAAAACTGAATGATGATTAGAATTTGTGAATATTTATACATTTTTCTAGATAGTCAGGGTCACACTTTAATCTTTCCACAGTCAACATTTATGGTTAATATTTTCATCTATTTCATGGGTAATAAAATTTTAAAGTAATTTGTAAGTGTCACAATCACCACACCTTGGTTTCAAAATTGTAAAAACATCAGTATTGACTCTGAATAGACAGGGATTTTAGGATATATATGCAATAGAATAATCTCTTTAATTTCCGTGTTCAAACACTGCTCCAGTGACCTCTTTGACAGCATCTCTTTTGCCCTCCTTCCAAGCATAGTGAATCACTGTTTCCTAGCACTCTGATAGGATTGGGCCATGCATTCCACCAGTGCTGAACTGTATGGCAGAATTTGCATATAAGTTTCTCTCTTTCACTAAACTTTAAACAGAGCATTACTGTGTCATATGTCTCTGTGCATCCCTAATTCATACCTCAGCACCTTGTGCCAAATCAGCAGTTCTCAAAGGATGGTCTGTACACCTAAGAGTGCCTCAAGAGTTTGATTTGCAGGGTCAAAACGATTTTATGTGATACGATGTTATTTGCCTTTTTCACTCTCATGTGCTCACAGGTGCACAGCTGAGTTTTGCAGAAGTTACATGACATGTGACAAAAACATTACTCTGATGGCTAATGAAATGTGTGTTTGTGTGTTTTATTAAAAATTTCTGGTTTAATTTCTAATGGTGAATATTGATAGATATAATCCAAATAATCAAAATGTCTTTGGAGATCCTCAATATATATCTGTGTGTGTGTGTGTGTGTGTGTGTGTGTGTGTGTGTGTGTATTTTTTTTTTTTTTTAAGTAGGCTTCATGCCCAGAGTGGAGGGAGCCCAACGCAGGGCTTGAACTCATGAACCTGAGATCAAGACCTGAGCCAAGATCGAGTTGGATGCTTACCCATCTGAGCCATCCATGCACCCTTCAATATATTTTTTAATAGAACAAAAGCTGGAGAATGGCTGTGCTAAATAAATAAAAACTGACTTGAGACTTTCTGTGTGTACTCTGTGTACATTAACTTGGGTAATATTCATAAAACCCTATGAGTTAGGTGCTACTATCCCAGAATTAGGGTCTGGGAAGGTGCTCATGCAAAGTCTCACAACTGGCCATGGAAGAACTAAGATGAGAAACCAGGCATGTGTCTACGAGCACTTACAGATAGTGATAATCTGTTCTATGCTGATGACCACAAGGTATTCATTCCTTGCTTATTTGCTGAGTGCCTTCTATGTGTCAAGCATTAATGATAGACACTGGCAAGACAATAGTAAGGAAAAGAGATATGGATAACTCTTTCATCAACTTTACATTCTAGTGGGAGAAAATATTCTGATGATAAAAATTGCAAATTCTCTCAAACACAAAAATCCAGTTTTAACATTCATTTCATATGATCATTCAGGTTCTACTACTTCATCTTATTTACTTCATTTTTTAAATAATGAAAATAATATCTATGAATCTCAGCACTCAATATAAAAGAGTTTGTCCCAAGATCTTCCTATTATGAAGTCAGCACAATGCACATATTCATTTTGAGCTTTCAAAATGAGAGGTTTAACTGATAAAGAATGATTAGGTGGATGTGAGATAACAAATTAATATTTCTAATTTAAGATTAAACTATTCATAAATAGTGTTTTATTATATTAGAAATTACAAAGTAATATCATGAAATCAGTCTAAGTTGAAAACTACTAGAACATTTAGTACAAGACCACTTATATGTTTAAATGTTGAAATCTTAAAATGCTTGGAGGTTTTGTGGCCGTTGAATTTAGATATTCTCATTTTTAATCTTAGATACTCCATTTTAAAAAGGTAATAAAGAATAATGGCATTAAGCTTGTCACACAAAATTATATGACATTTTCCCAACTGATACTTTTGTATCTATAATTCTATATAAATGATTTGTATTTCAAATTTATTATAATGTATGTTTCATTATTTGAGGTTCTGAGAGTTACTGGTTAATTTAAAAATATAACAAAATATTTTGGAAAAAGAATACCGTTAGCAAACCTAACAAATATTCATTAATCAAAGAATATTTGTCAATTTGCCTTTTAAAAGCTGTTTAAAAATATTTTCCTGAAGTCAAAATAATTGATCGAAATTGTACTGATTTAATTAATTAATAAAACCTTTTTATTAGAAGTTGAAGAGAGAAAAATCACATAATGTTTTTTAGCTCATCGTTGTTTAGAATATTGTGAGAGGGGCACCTGGGCAGCTCATCCAGTCAAGCATCTGACTCTTGATTTTGGCTCAGGTCATGACCTCACGGTTGATTCGTGCCCTGTGTTGGGCTCTGTGCTGACAGTGCGGAGCCTGTTTGGGATTCTTTCCCTCTCTCTCTGGCCCTCCTACAAGTGCACGTGCATTCTCTCTGTCTCTCTCTCAAAATAAATAAGTAGACATTTAAAAAATAGAGAGAGAGAGATCCTTGTGGGAACACTACACCGGCAAGGAGATGAGAAGGTAACAGTTGGGGGAACCCTGTGCCTGAACAGTAACATCAGGAGAAATCAAGAACTCCAAAAGACAGAAACACACCCCAAGATCTCAGCTAAGTGAGAAACAACCAGAGCAGTACTCGAGCTGTTCTGAACTTGCACTCTGGACATGCATTCCAACATACATCTGCCTATTTGTGATACACTATAGACACATGCATTTTTGTTATCTTCTGCTGAATTATAAAGCAAAAAAATGATAATTCAGGATACTGGTGATGTTGTGTTTTTAAGATCAGTGGTTGATACAGAGATATTCATTTCAATTATTAATATTTCGCATATACTTTGAATATATTCTTTAGTATGCTTGAAGCATTTATAAGAGATGAAAAGATGATAAAAATAACAATAAATACAGTTTCTAAGATCTTCTTTCTCAACTGCAACTTTTGAAATCATTGCTAACAGGCAAGGAGCTTAAATTAACACGGATTTTTATAGATGCATCTTTCTCTGGCCCATCCTGTGTATATCCTGGCTTCATTTGGGGGTTTCTGTGAAGGAGCACCTTTGACTGACACAACCAGAATAATACTGCTTTGGATTCTACAAAAACAGCTTGTGTCAATACCCAATTGAACAAGTGCTGTTTCTATTTCTAACGTCATCTTTTCCAAATAAAGCCAGTATGTATTAAAGAGACTAATATAAATTAAAAAATTCTAACACTGAGAAACAAAACATTGAATTTTCAATTGTTATTCTGTCTAACCTTTACAAAGGACATATTTATGCACATATATTCACCTTTAAATATAAAAATAATCTTGAACCAAATCATCACCCTCAATATTGGAAAAAATATGACAGAGGTATAGAGAGTAAGAATCCAAACCAAAGGTGGTAATTACCTTCAAACATTTTACCTGTAGCTTCCTCTAGTGTAGCAACATCAAGTCTGGGGCTGTAATTTCCATAACCAGCAGCAGTAAAAGCCCGAATCTGGAAAACATACACTGTTCCTGGCTTCAGGTTATTAATGGAAGCTGAAGTGGACTTGGTTTTTACTGTCGAATAGGTCCGTTCCCTTTGATCCTAGAAACAATATATTCAGGGAATATTTAATTGTAATTGCAACCAGGCAATTTGACAGGCAATTCTTGCAATTTATTTCAATTTACTGCATTGTTTTTATAAAGGCTACATTGTGCCCTGTGGAATATTGTAACATTGAGTTGTTTCTGAGATAATATAAAATGTAAATGTGAACACATGCCTTTGTTCTATAAGTTTCAAAGAGAAATAATTTTGTTAGACCATTTATATGTTTTTGAGCTTTTGCTTTGTTGGTAGAGGGCACAGTGGCAAGAACTATTTAGCCATAAATATAATCAAAAGTCCTATTGACCAAAACCTGGGTACACTTATAAAATCTATGGGTTAGTAGAGGTCTTCCCTTCATAATGTAGTTCTTTTAATATTTTTCCTGAATGTTATTTAGCAAGCAAAAGGCCATGTGTGAAAAATGAAGAAAGCTATTAACTCAAGAAATTTAATGCATACCACCACCATACTGACGTATCAATTGCTTTCATTAAAAACTACATTTCTCACCGAATAAACTTTTACAAAATAGTACTTAATGGAATATTTTAAATTAAAACTATCAGTATAAAAGTTAAAGTATTATAAAATTTATGGTTTGATAATATTTTAAACATCTCTCAGTTCAAGTTCCTCATTTTCCAGATGTGAAAACTGAGGCTTGCAGAATTTAAAAATGTCTTTACATATTATATATGATAAGTTAAGAATGAAAGAAGTATAAAAATTCAAGAATATAAAAAACTCCATCAAAACTTTCATCAAATGAAAAAAAATTAAAGCTTAATTGATATGACTCTAATGGGCTTTTTATTTAAAAAGCTATAAAAACTAGCCATCAAAATATACAATTTTAGACAGTTTCTTATTTGTTCTATAATAAATAGTTGTTTACAATAAAACTATTCATTGAAATCTGAAAATGTCAGTCTGGTTGTTTGATTTGCCTTTACACTGATATTTGCAAAAGTATAAATAAATGTACACTATATTCAGTGAGGCCGATTTGTGATTGTCTTAATTATAATCATTTATAAAAATGACTGTTGGTATTATAAATATATATTTATCTCAAATAGAAGAACTAGGCATAACTGATATTAGATGACATAATGACATATAGAGATCACATGCTTACATACGTTACAATGCAATACTATTATTCTGTTGTAATAATTGCCTAATATGTAAGTTCAGCAAATGTAGATACAGTCCGTTTTTGTCATGAAAAATAGAAGAGAAACTATTTGAACAAATTTGCCCCCAAGCAAGGATTTGCAAAATATTTTGTCACATTGTGAGAAACTTTACTTTCATTTACCACCTAACATATTTTTAAAATGTACTTTACTGCTTTTGAAATCTGATGAAATTTCAGGAGAGAATACAACTGTTAGTGTTTACTGGAAAACAGATATAACAAAACAAACGTTAAAAACAATGATTCCCTCAGAAACACATTTGATGGGGTAAAAAATGTATTCCCTGGTACAAAAATAAGGTATTTAAAATGTCAGTTTGGCCATGGAAGTCATGAATGCATAATGAAAATAATAAGCAAAAATACTGTAAACTTAATCTGAACATTGAAACTAATCTTAAGCTATATTTTCTTCAAAGGGAAAAAAATATCTATTGCCAATGCACTGTATGCATTTAAATTATTCAATAAAGTCAATTCAGCCCCCAAATTTTTCCAAAGCCTTTAGGATCCTATTTTGGAATTCTGTCTAAATGGTTAAAAAGGTTATGCGTACTATGGCATTTTAGCTAACTTATTTAAGTCAATAAGTAACACTGTATTAATAATATATTGATATTACTAATAATTGCTAATATTAATAATTATTAATTACTAATAGTAATATTAATAATAATAATAGTTTCTGTGCTTCAAACCTTGAACCAGGTCTTTCTATGAGGTGGAGCCTAGGTAATAACTTGTGAAAAGGGTGCCCAGCCCCCTTTGAATGGGTCAGAAATAAATCCACTCATACCACTCAGTTAGATCTCTACTAAAATTCAGCCATTTTGGAGAGATTAAAGGGCAGTGCTTGGGTTTCAGCCATCCTATTTTTCATGGAGAAGGGAGTGCGAAGAAGTGGTTGATATGATTAGTATAACATATGTGGAATAAATTCCAGGAGGAATTAAAGGGAGTGGAATATCATCATTTGCTTCTGCAATTTAGAGAAACTACATTATTTATTACAGAAAATATTTGTATGTTTTCAAATTACTAAATTACTTGAAGCCACCATCATTATCACTGAAACCATGTACTTAAGAAATCCATAGACATAAGAAATCATTAAGGGCCTAGAGATCCTAAAAGAACTGTTTTTTGAAAAAAAAAATGCATTGGGCTGTGTGGTTTCTGTGGTACTAAAACATCCTGCAGCTAATTATGTATCAAAAATTGAACAAATATACTGCCAGTGGAATATTTTCCTTTGTGTAACACAGGTACTTAATACACAGAAATCGTCATTATAATGATGAACCCTAGATGCAGGAAGATGGTCATTAAAAATGGCTAAAATTCACTCCGCATTTCCAAATAGCTCCAAACAGTTGGCATAATGACCAAGTTTAGTCTACACTGCAGTAGGACGACACGAGACACATTGGCTGCACATTTCAGCTGCTCTTAGCACTTACTTTCTCGTAATACTTGATTTCATATTCTGTGATGACTCCATTGGGATGCTCGGGCTCCTGCCAGGAAAGTTCTACACTCCGCTGCAGCACCCTTTCCTTCATCACTCCGCTCACTTGCGAGGGAGCTGTTTGGACAAGACATGTCAATAAACAATGAGAAAATTCACTGGATGCCTCAAATCAAATGTCACAACCGATCAGTCCCATGCTGTGCCAGTTTCATTAAGGTAAAAGAAAGCACCTTTTCATAGCTCACAATTCAGAAGCTAATGAATATTCAAATAGGACCTTATTACTGTTCATAAACCTTAATAGAAATTTAAATTAAAGTGCAAACAGCAGAAGATAGCATTGTTCAAGTTAGTGAAAAATGGAAATGATGGGGCTGAGAATGACAATTAAGCAAATGAATGCTAATTAAGGCTACAAAATATGATTTCAGATTAATCTCCAGTGATAAACTAAGTCCAAATATTTACTTCACATGCAATGGCAATACACTTTTTAAAAGAAAAAAGTACTTTAATATTGTGGAATACAAATGGCTACTTCAGTGTTCAATTAAAGGGACAGCAGCTTTTAGAAATGTTTTTATGTTTTAACTGTGTGTGTGTGTGTGTGTGTGTGTGTGTGTGCGCATGTGTGTGTGTGTGTGTATTCCCAAAGAATTCCAATTAACCTTGGGAAAAATTTTTTACACTTCATTAGGTCAAGATGCAGGAGAACGCTAAAGCTGCCGCCACTTCAATACGTGGGTGAACATACACACACGCAGACTCTTGCACATGTAATTTCTACGTACGTAACCTAGGTTTCAAGCTTTGATAGAAGTAATTCAAACCATGGTTTTGCTCTCTCTTTCTATATAGATAATAATATGCTTAGAGCCCTTTCATTCTAATTAGTGGCATATACTCTTTTTGGTAGCTAACACTGTGGAATGTAGCAAACTAATTTGCTCTGTCTAATTTGCTCGGTGATGATTAACTAGTTGTCTCCTCTGTCTAAATGAGTAGCTGCACTGGCTTGGCTGAATTTCAGTGGGGTCATTATGTTTCATGTATCATGCTCTATCTCATTCTGTAAAATATTTTCAGGCTGTTAATTTAATTTTCAGATGTCTAAAATTGTTAATAATCTTGCTGACAGAAAAGCAATTATACGGGGCCAGGGCTGTTTAAGCAGGCTTCTGATGTTTATCCCTTTGACTTCATTTTGTTTCTTCTACTTCTTAATGTTTTCTTGTATCAATGTCTAGGAAACACATTTTTCACTTCTTTCCGGCTTGGCGATTTTGAGGGAAGCACATGGATGATGCATGATTCCCATTTCCTCTCAGATTACTAACAGAAGCATAACTAGGGCAGATTAAGTGGAACAACTCTCCCTTTAGGGCGATGCAGCTGAAGTACTCGACAGCCTGTGTTTACAGACTAAATGTGTTTCTGATATGTTTCCAATGAAACAAATTTCTAATAAGAACTCTTATTTTTGCCATGACTTTTAAAACCTGAATATATGCAGTAAAGAAGAATTTGTTTCTGAAGTGATTTGTCTATCCATCCAGAACATGCTTAGCATATTTTCAGCCGCCTGGGATGTTCAAGAGGCTGCTTCCGCAAGCTATAGCCCGGGGAAACACAAACCCCAACGAATTTTGAGGTGCAAATCTACTTAGCAAAAAATTTCCAATAACCTAATTTACTTAAGATCATTCCGAAAAATCTGTATGTAAACTTTAGTATAAAATAGAATGGACCACAGGTAAGAATACTACAATAGTCAATAACACGGAATTAGTCAGTAAGGCTGCCAGCCTCTGATCAGGGTTTAGGATATGACGTGTGCCATTTGGAAATACATGTACTGGAAAACAGGTACAGAGCTAGGAGATGCCATCTAGGTCCTTTTCAAACAACACAGATAGCTGAATGTGATTTTCAATGTCAAGCAAAGTGTAGCACGTTTTGCTTAGTTTGTATCCTAAATAGTAAGGCGAAGAGACACCGAATTCCTCAAGGAATGGAGGAGACGTGGGGGATATAGATGTGCCTCATTTAGTTTCTGACATGTCACAGCAATATCTAAGTATAGAATGAGATTTGATTTCTGCAGGTTACACATTAAAATTATATTCATTATTTCATCCTGGAAAAGAACTTTTACCAATTAATTTATGGTAACTGAGGATGGGGGGGAGATGTCAAAAATACATTTGTAATATATAGTATTTTTATCACAGCATTAAAAGTAACTGTACTACAATGTATTTTCCCTCTTTTGTGCATGGAGTCATCTGTGAATGACTATACTCCTGATTTTCTGTACATTTCCTTTTTAAAAATGTGTCCCTTGCCGATACTATATCGAGTCACACATTTAAGAGGGTCAGAGCTAGAAGTATTAGCACATGGCCCTTGAGAATAGATAAATTGCATGATAGGAAATATCTTTGTCTGTCTTACGTCCTTCAAGTACAACATTTTGGTACAGGAGAATTGATAATATTTTCCCTTGAGTTTCAATATTTTAGGCATAAAGATCTACAGCTCATAAACAAAACCATCTCTAAGCTAGTCAGATTCTAACAGGATCACTATTTTCAGAAAAAGTTATATGTAAAAGTAAAATTGAAATGACATCAGGCTCTTTAATCTTAAGACACAATGATTACTAGGATTATTAGGTTTGATCTAAATTAATCACATTGTAACAATTTCACTAATACACTCACTCTTACACCAAAATACCCAATTAACTACATTCTGAAGTTCATTTTGGAAAGAAATGTATGCAGCTAAATTATATACATACTTAAGACCCAATTAGGTGTGATGACATTTAAATTATATTTTTGTAATTAGCAAAGTGAAACAAAATCTATTGTAATTGGAATTGATGAGAAGCTAATAAATAGTAACCAACAATAGTAAATTTATTAAATTGGAAAATGTGGGCAAACAAATACTACAAAGAAGGGAGCTTCTACATATGAATTTTTAATAGGGTTTCTAACATGTGATTAACAGATTCATATCTCACCTAAGTTTCTAGCAATTCTAAAATATAAAAATTAATTTCAACTGAAGAAACTTTTCTTTGCCCCTAAAAAGTCTCAGGACTTACGGGGGACACATATGGAGTCCGAACAATTGACAGTGAAAGACAATCTTAGGAAATTCAGAAAATGCTTTCTGAGGCTCAAATGGAAAATCTCAACAACATAAGAACAAAGTTGATAAACTTGATGCAAAAGGAAATCAAAAGTCTAATAACAGGCCAAAAGGTAAAATCTGTGGGCTGCAGTTATTAGTGTAAGGCTTTGAATTTATTATTTATTTATTTATTTTTTAATGTTTATTTATTTTTGAGGAAGAGAAAGAGAGAGAGAGAGAGACAGAGACACAGAGTGAATGAGAGAGGGGCAGAGAGAGAGGGAGACACCAAATCTGAAGCAGGCTCCAGGTTCTGAGCTGTCAGCATAGAGCCCGATGCAGGGCTTGAAATCACAAACTGTGAGATCATGACCTGAGCCGAAGTTGGACGTCCAGCCGACTGAGCCACCCAGGTGCCCAAAGGCTTTGAATTTAAAAATAATCAGTAAGAATGGTAGGTTTATGTACAGACCTGAACCAATCAACATTTTACAGATTTTGAGCTTCATGCCCTTGTGCATGATTTTTGATCTTAATCAATGTCTAATTAAAATTCAAGTACAACAAACATAGTTAAATTACAAGGGGAAAAATATTCATAAGGGCTCCATTTTTCCCACTAAAATATTAAATTTACCTATATGCATGGAAAAATTTTCCAGCATGAAAGGGGGGAAAAGACAATTTAAAAACATTGTATAATAGGCAAATGGCACTCTAAAGATGTCCATATTCTAATTTCTGGAACATGTGAGTATGCAATTACATGGCAAAAGGGACACTGCATATGTAATTAAGGTTACAGACCTCACGATAAAGATATTATTCTGGATCCTTGCCAGGGGGCCTAATCTAATCACATCAGCCCTTAGGAGCAGAGGAATTTCTCCAGCCAGGGTCAGAGAGATGCCGCAGAAGGAGGAGTCAGAGAGATTTGAAACATGAAAGAAAATCAACTTCCCATTGCTGGAGGAGCCACAGGAGAAATATGAGAAAATATGGAGGCAGACTTATGGATCAAAGACTGACCCTGGTTCACATAGGAAGGGAAATGGAGGCCACAATTCCACCAGTTCCAAAGCTTTGAATTCTGATAACAACATGGATGAACTTGGAAGTGGATCTTCCCCGGAACTCCAGATAAGAGTACAGCCCAGCTAATGACCTGATTTCAGCCAGTGAAGCTGGCAATCGAGAACCCAGCTGAGCCCCATTGCACCTAGACTTCTGACCCACAGAACTAGAAAATAATGAATGGGTGTTGCTTTAAGGTTTTTTGTGGTAGTTTTTATAGTAGCCATAGAAAACTAATACACATATTAAAAATATATAAATAGACTTACTGGAATTTTAATGAAGTCTATGAATAAAGGTTAGTGGTAGGATAGTTTAATAATGTGATCTATCAGACTTTATGTTGAAATAGCATAGAGTCAAGGAATTTTTATCTTAATTAGGACTCAAAATGCAATGTCTTACAGAAAAAAAAAATCTCCAATATACATTTGGAAGAAACGTGTGTGTGTGTGTGTGTGTGTGTGTGTGTGTGTGTGTGTGTGGTAGAACTTCAATGAAGCTAGTGAATTTGATTTTGAATTTAAAAAGTAATTTATTTGTACTAAAAATTATTTTTACTATAGTTAAATGTTCTCAATGAATTTCAATAAAGAATGGTGGGTGAAATTGGGGCGCCTGGGTGGCTCAGTCGGTTGAGTATCCGACATCGGCTCAGGTCATGATCCTGCAGTTTGTGGGTTCGATCCCTGTATCGGGCTCTGTGCTGACAGTTCAGTCTGGAGTCTGCTTCGGATTCTGTGTCTCCCTCTTTCTCTGCCCCTCTCCCACTCACGCTCTCAATCTCTCTCTCAGAAATAAATAAACATTAAAAAAAGAAAAAGAAGGGGTATGGTGGGGCAGTGGGAGTTAAGTCGACTTCCAGATCCCGCGATCTCGTGATCCCGTGAAGTTTC